GGTGGTACGAATTGTGGCGTTCATTGCGAAGCGAACCGCCGTGAGGACTCCATCCCAGGATCCGTTCACGAGGTCGTCTTGGCACTTGATGTTTTGAACAGCGATCAAGCTGCGTATGGTCTGATGAGCACGCTCGACCATGGAGTTGGCTTGAGGGTTGCGCGTGGTGATGAACTTGCGACGAAGTCCATATTCATCCCGGAGAGTCTTCTCGACCTCTGCGCGGAACTCACGTCCTCTATCCATGATAACCTCAGCGGCCATGGATACCGGTAAGCCACGTTTGTTCTAGGACGATGGCTACTTCGTCTGCGCCTTGGAGCAGATCTCTGCAATCTCGAACCATCCGGTTGGGATCAATCATTGTCAAGAATGAAGTGTACAGGAATTCTTTTCTTAGGATCCCCGAGTTGTAGGACCTATCAGGTCAATACATAGTCTTTCCAAGGGATCTCCTCGCAAGTCTTTGGAGGCATCAATCCAGCTTACGCGTCTTGGGTTTGTCATCTGGCAGCTTTGGCAATGCTGACATACTGGCCTGCACAGTCTTCGCAGTCCTTTCCAGTGTAGTGTTGGCTGATGGTTAGTTTCGTGTCGAGTCTCGCCAGGATGCATCAGCAACCATGGTACCATTCGACTAGCTTCTTCTGATAGTCTAGGTCGACGATTTATCGTCCTTAACTATAAGTCGTAAGACTTATCCCTCTGGGGAAAGATTGCTTCTTGTAGTCGTTTGGCTTGTCCTGAGGAGTTCCTTGATTCGTTGTCGTCTTTCTGACGATGTTCGATCTCGTGGAACGAGAGAGGGAACTCGCTAGGGAAGTCCTCTTCGTCTGCAGCATGAGCTCACCGATCTCGCTGGCGTCCATTTGTTCTGAAAAACCGTGTTGTTGAGAGTTAAGTCTCGACAACGCATAGCGACGATGTTGTTTCGCCCTTGATGTACCGTAGTTCAGGGCCGTATTCTTCCAGATAAGGCGCCATCGCATTACGCGATCGGTATTGAAGTTCTTACATGTAAGATTTTTGTGGTCCGTATGACAACGATCTTCTGTCCAGAAGAATGTTACGGAACTCTTTTAGAGTTTTTACGATACTGAGAAGTTCCTTCTCGGTAACGTGTACGTGTCTAAGCAGGGTTGAGCTTCCTGTTGTAGAACCGATAGGTTTTCCCTTCTGGGAAATACTGCACCTAGTTGAGTACACTCGCATCCGTGTGGATAACGAATTTCGTTGAAGTCGGGTAAGCGAGCAAGGTTTCTTTGCTGATGATCTTCTTCATCTGGCTAAGGCCTTGTCGTGTTCGGCTTCCATTTCCACTTCGTTGTTTTGGAAGTCAACGAAGCGAGTGGGCCATACATGTGATCGTCTAATCCACATGTCTCGATAGTATTCACTAGCCAATGAATCTACGGAGTCTTTTCTGTTGGTAGGAGGAGCGATATTCTGGATCGCGTCTATTTTCTTGGTTATAGGTTTGGATCCCTTCTCGATAATCCAGTAACCTAAGTATTCCAAGTTCTCCTCTTGCGAAGAAGGACTTGGAGCATTGATCTTAAGTCCGGCTTCTCGAAGCCTTCGAAGAACTTCATCCAACTTTTCAACGTGATCTGCCAGATCGCCGTAGTTAGGATGAGTAGATCATCAATGTATGCACGGACGTATTCTAGGTCGTGCATTAGTGTTCCCATCTTCTCTTGGAAGATGTCGGGACTATTACATAGGCCCATTGGCAACCTCTGGTACTCGTACTTTCCCCACGGGAGTACGATGGTACAGAGTTGCTTCGAGCCAGGATGCATCAGCACACCATGGTACCATTCAACTAGCTTCTTCTGCATGTTTTAGGTACGACGATTTTATCGTCCTTAACTACTAAGTCGTAGGCTTATCCCCTGGGGAAAGATTGCTTCTTGTAGTCGTTTGGCTTGTCCCTGAGGAGCTTCTTGATATCGTTGTCGTCTTTCTGACGATGTTCGATCTCGGGGAACGAGAGAGGGAACTCGCTAGGAAGTCCTCTTTGTCTGCAGCATGAGTTCAGCGATCTCGCTGGCGTCCATTGTTCTGAAGAACCGTCTGTTGGAGATGTTAAGTCCGACAACGCATCGGACGATGTTCTGTTCGCTTTGATGTACCGTAGTTCAGGGCCGTATTCTTCCAGAATAAGCGCCATCGCATTACGCGATCGGTATTGAAGTCTTACATGTAAGATTCTTGTGGTCCGTATGTACAACGATCTTCTGTCCTAAAAGAATGTTACGGAACTCTTTTATTTTCTACGATACTGAGAAGTTCTTCTCGGTAACTGTGTAACGTGTCTGAGCAGGGTTGAGCTTCCTGCTGTAGAACGCGATAGTTTTTCCTTCTGGGAAATACTGCACCTAGTTGAGTACACTCGCATCCGTGTGGATAACGAATGTATCGTTAAGTCAGGGTAGGCGAGCAAGGTTTCTTGCTGATGATCTTCTTCATCTGGCTAAAGGCCTTGTCGTGTTCGCTTCCAATTTCCACTTCGTTGTTTTGGAAGTCAACAAGGAGTGGTGCCAGTACATGTGATCGTCTAATCCACATGCTCGATAGTAGTTCACTAGTCAATGAATCTACGGAGTTCTCTTCTGTTGGTAGGAGGAGGATATTTTGATCGCGTCTATTTCTTGGTTATAGGTTGGATCCTTCTCGAGTAATCCAGTAACCTAGGATTCAAGTTCTCCTCTTGCGAAGAAGACTTGGTAGCATTATCTTAAGTCCGGCTTCTCGAAGCCTCCGGAGAACTTCATCCAACTTTCAACGTGATCTGCTAGATCCCGTTAGTTAGGATGAGTAGATCATCAATGTATGCACGGACGTATTCTAGGTCGTGCATTTGTGTTCCCATCTTCTCTTGGAAGATGTCGGGACTATTACATAGGCCCATTGGCAACCTCTGGTACTCGTACTTTCCCACGGGAGTACGATGGTACAGAGTTGCTTCGAGTGAGGTGACAGCTCGATGTGATAGTATCCCATGTTCAGGTCTAGACTAGTAGCGTACTTGAATCCATCTAGGTTCAAGAGTATGTCCTGTATTTTTGGGATAGGATAAGGCTTCCGCTTAATCCTTTTGTTCAGTTCCCGGAAATCAGAGATGAATCGTACAGATCCATCTTTCTTGGGAATGATGAAAGTTCGTGCCGCCCACTCGGAACGGTTTACCTTCTGAGTACTCCTGCCTCGCAGAGACTTCAACCCCATTTTAAGAGTGTTGGATGAACCCGTGGAATAGGATAGCCCTGCATGATAGGGTTAGCATCAGGGAGAAGTTCTACTTCGTAGTCTCCATTGCACATTTCCAAAAACCATCAATAGGTCAGAGTACTTCGTCAGTAAGGAATGAAGCTGTTCCTTCTCTTCGTGTTTAACTGATCTTGACTTTGGCAAACCTGCCTAAGTCAGCTTGTTCGTATTTCGCATCAAGAATCTTCTTGAGACGATCTGCACTGTCATCAACAGCGGTAGGATCAGGAAGAAGAAGTTTCTCTTCTTCATTGTTGTCGCTTCCTTCATAGAATAGATCGCCGTCCCATTCCACTGACAGGGTAGTGAAATTGAACTTGAATCCTAAGTCAGAGAGAATGTCTCGACCTATGATCATGTCATACCCCCCAAGCTCTTGGTGACGTGTAAATCCCACTCGATGATTCTATCTTCGTGGAATTCAGGAATCAATGAACCTTTGCACTTCGTGCTGGTGTTTAATTCTCCTACAGGGTAGTCCACATTGTTTAGGACGCCCCAAGATCCTTCATGCGTAATTTCTTAGCATGAGTTGAGCAATCAAGGTTCCGGATGCTCCTGTATCCAGTAGCAACGGAGTGTGACGGGTTTTGGTTTCCCTTTTTCTCGCTTGTTAAATCTAACATAGACGATGGGTTTGAGGTCTCTGTCTTGCGACGTTTACGAGGTGGTTGGCCACGGACGAGGTTAACGATGCTAAATAGATCATCAGAGTCTAGTTGGCAGCTTCTAGGCAATCATCTAATTTGCCGTAGTTCATGTTGCAAACAATTCTTGTTTACTAGTTAGTGAGATATCTTCATCACTTTGGTAGAGAATCGGAACATGGTTCCGTTGAGTCATCATCCTGGCCTAATCCTCAGATAGAGATTTCTCCATCCAAGTGATTGAAATTGATAGAGGAGTTGTCCTATTGTCAGAGTCTTCTGATTGGCGCTTGCAACATGGTTGCGAAGTTTGCAAGTGGTTGCACGAGTATCGTCGATCTCGTTTTCTTCGTCATTGTCGACGAGAAGGAAATGGGTTTGTCACGCAACTGTTTCTCGGAGTTGGGAACGCATGCTTTCTTGAGCCATCTTCTGGTGAAGGAATAGGTTGAGGGTAGCTGAAAGCTATTGTTTGTTAACAAAATGCACTACGCTAAAAGCTAGTGTAAAGATCTTTCGAGTGTTTTGAGTTTGAGAGAATGAAAGTTATGAGAGAGATAGAAAGCTATGAAAACTAATCAACGAGAGAGAATCATCATCAAGGGATCGTAGATCTGGCTCCCCGCGGGAGACTATAAAGTTGTGATAGAGTAGGTGCGGTGGTAATCCTACGTGTTCTCCACGATCCTAAAACGGAACGCGTGGAAGGTTTGTCTAGCCTGGATCTAGTAGCGTGGAAGTACTCCACGCTGGCTAAATATCTAGAGCGATGTTTCATCATCAACTAGTATGACTAGCGCGGTCATTGAGAACCCTGTCTCAAATGACTATTCACGAGAGACTCAGTCATGAGTCGAACTCAAACCCTATCTAGGATCGAGTCGCGAAAAGGCTAAGAGCCGTGTATTGAGTCGAACTCAAACCCTATCTAGGATCGAGTCGCGAATAAGGCTAAGAGCCGTGTATTGCAGTAGCTACAGCATAGCTACCAGTACCGGTAGCAAGTAGTCTAACCAGCAGCCATCCACCAATCCACGTCGCTTGCTTATTCTCGGAGCCGGCTACTACAGATCGCTGGCAATGGTCACAACTCGCAGCAGCAAAAGCGAATATTCTGGTACTCCGGAGGCAAGACGAGGTAGGGGCAAGAGCACTGGAGGAAGTAGCAGGAAGCCGTCTCCTGCTGTTGTGTCTGTGACTGGCTCTAGCAGGAAAGTCAAGAACAAGGTTGGTTCTCCTGCACCGAGGAAGAAGTCTCTCTTTTCTAATGACGAAGATGACTACGATAACAAGGGCTACAGCAGTGACGAATTCAACTTCGAAGAGGAGGAAGACGAGCTTGGCGAACAGTCTGACAGCAACCATTCGGTGTCCACAACGGGATCTGGAGCCCGCAAGAGACTGCCGAAAAACGTCCTAAAAGCTGTGCTCACTGATATCCAGCACGAAGGAGGGATCGGCGTGTTCCATCTAGCCTCTCCACAAGCACTCTGCAACATTCTAGACAAGCGACCTGAGTTGTATGGCAATCGAGGAGACATTACTCGAGTAGCGATTGGAAAGAAGGTTATCAAGTGGAGAAAGAAGTTTCACGAATCCAAGGAAAGCTGGAACCAACAACTGCGTGATTTGGGCATCACTGAGAAGGTGAAGCCTGTTGCTGCAAGAGGAGCGGCTGACAAGCCTGCCGCTGCAAAAGAGACAAAGAACGTTGGTTCGAAGACCTCAGTCCCTATAAAGACTGTTGACGTTCCAGCTGTGGTGCATGGCAGTGAGGATCCCCCATCGCCACTATCTACCAAATCTACTCTGTCATCATCAAAGACTCTCGATTACATTATGAGTGATCAGTATCCGAAAGGCGCCAGTAAGTGGTTTGTCGTATGTCCGTCTTTACTCCCCTGACTGTGAAACTAGCTGTGTGTCTCTCTTGCTGCAGTCATTATTATAGTGGACGATGAGAAGCCAGAAGGGAATGGACCCTTTTGGGTCTATCCTGTGCCAGACATGGAGTCAGTGGAAGAAGGGCAGGAGACAAAGGGGTTCTTAATAATGTGTTCTGTGGATCAACGCTTTGGTGAGCGGGATGGAACAGTGCAATGGATCAGTGCCAAGGTGGTGGGGTGCAAACAGATCCATTTCAGGGTTCCTTCATTGCCATTCTTCATGATGCCATTAAGCACGATCCACCAGGATGCTGTTTACAAAGCCCTTGACGAACAACTCCCAGAAAGCATCATGAAATCTATCAATTACGGTGTTGCATTCCTTACTCCTTCTACTACGGGTGGCTCTGTGGATCCCATGGAATCTGCTGTGGCTGAGTCTCGCAAGTGGACGACCTATGTCTTGGACTTTTCAAGGGTGTCTTATGTCGGGGAACTGAAAGCGTCTCTGGTGTCTAGAGAGGCTGGGACGGATGAGGTGCTTTCTTTTGATTATATTTTGTTGCCTTGCAAGTGGGAGACGGATGGCATGGCCAAAGAAGCAAGCGAGTTGGAAGAATTCTTGGGCTTCAGGGTGGGTGTTGAGCTTCCCCAGGCGCAAGCTTCGCGCAAGGTCAGGCGACCCCAACAGCCACCGAAGAGTAAAATGCAGCTGAGAAAGGAAGCCGCACTGGCAAAGATGAAGCCGTCATCATCTGGTCCGTCATCATCTGGTTAGTGGGGTGTCGTTTTGTCAGTATCTAAACTAGTTTTTGTTTGTCTAAACTTGTGCTTCTGTAGCACTGGATATAGAACAGCAAATGATAGACGCTATGAATGCAGCTGGTGGGACGGACGATGAAGAGGAAAAAGCGTGGGCACTGGCTCAACCGCTGAGGGACAAGGGCCAAGTCAATGAATGGGGATTCACGGAAATTGGTTGGGCTCAGGTTGGTGAGCTTCTGAGAGTGGAAGTTTGCCGTGGTGAAATGAGCATGGAGGAGCTCTGCACTGAGATGTGGAGCTATGCTCACCACATGGCCAACCAGAAACATAAAACGCAGAAGATGTCACCAGAGGAGATTGTGGTCAACTACGTCGTGATCAAGTAACAGAGAGCAGATGAGCGACAAACTCAACTGCAGCTTGAACCCGAGGAACCGCACAAGAACGCTGAGCAGAAGAGTAAGGAATGGTTTGCGGCTGAAGAGTCGACCAAAGACGCTGGTGGTACGTCCATAAGGACAAAGGCAGCAGTCAAGGGAGGGCATCTCAGGGCGGAAGAAGACCGTTTGGCTCTGTTCAAACCCACCATCCAGAGTAGAACATCGGTGAGGGCCAAAGGGAATGAACAGAAGAGGGAAGGAGCCAGAAACACGGCAGTCAACAAAAAAAGGTTTGCGTCGTCGTGAATAAGCCAATATTATTTGTGTAATCGTTACTTGTATACAGTAGCTGGCTGCACACTTTTTCCTACACGACTTCTCTGTAGAAAGTGTACCAGTGGGGTGCATGAGTCTCATGCGGCACATCTCCGAGTTTCTCTTCCTCCGACCTTGGTTGCTTTGTAGAATTGACTAATAGTCGTCACCATCCCAATGGCCATTTCTTTCTCTTTGGGGGAGAAGTGTGCATTGATGCGGGTTTAGTAATCTTGCCACACACTCCTGCCTTGGTAGGAAAGAGACTACCCAGTGTATCCATCATGTCAAAAAAATCATGTGATTCACCTTTGGGCAGCCAAGTCTTGAGACTCTTTTTGACCATAGATGCAGGAATGTTCGCCATCTTCACATCAGCCTTTTGGGTCGTTCCGGATTCCTCCCAGTCGTACATATCAAGAGCAACTAAGATCTTCCGAGCATGGAGGCCCACAACCAACTCAGTGGAGCCGAAGACATGGGACATCAGCAATGATGCCACATTTTCGCTGCATATTGTCATGAGATCTTTCTTGTTTGTTGGGATTTTTCCTTCGTGTTTAAGTTCTGGTTCCAACAACTTTGCTGCAATCGACTTGATCGTGGCCGCGACCAAGTTTTTGTCATCGTAATCATTGATGACTTTCTGAATTCTGTTTTCCGTGGCAGTGGCAAAGTTGTCAGGCATGACCAAGCCACTGGAATGAAAGGACACCAAGATTTGAAAAATGTCACCAAACAGACTGCAACACATAAGGGTGAGATTTTGTACCCAATACAACCACAAGATTTGATGGAAGGCACATACCTTTTCTGGCTTATCACTAGCCCAACCATGTATATGAAAACACGACCATTAAAGTCAAGGGCCGGCCGCAAGGAGTCCGCTCCAATGAATTCCATGACCATGGTGAACGACATTGGCTGTGGGAGCAGATGTCGATCCTTCAGCCGCATGCAGATAGTCCGAAGGGAAGCCAGCTTCTTCTTTGCCTCTTCAACCCAATCAGTTCCCGGTTTGTCCATGGTGGATCCATTCTTCCTAGGCGGCTCTGAGTGAATGCCCAGCCTCGCGGCCTTCTGATGTGGTGTCTCTGCATCAAGCAGAGATGTATCCGATCGCTTTGCTTTCTTTGTCACTGGCTCTGTTGGGCCTTCCTCAGCTTCTTTTTTGAGCTGTTCTTGTTCTTTCTTCTTGGCTTGTGTAAGCTGTTCAGCTTCTTGTTGTTTCTTTGCGGCGGCTCACAAAGCCTTTTCCTTATCAGCCAACTCTTTTTGCCTTTTCTCCTTGGTTTGTCGCCTAGATCCCGACAATCTTTGCGTGCCAGAGGAGATGTTGCGTCTTTCTTCTTGAATCCTAGTCGCCTCCTCCACTGCCTCCACTGGCTGCTTCTTGGCTGCTTCTTCTTGTGCTTTTACGGCATTCAGCCTTGCCTGAATTCTTGCTTGCTTTTTGAGCTTGGCAATGTGTTTCTTGACTTCCTGGTCTACGGCTTTATCCATGTCTTTTTCAGATTTGCAGAGCTTGCAGGTGATAGTTGCAATAGATTCGACAAGTTCCAGGGTAGCGTCTGGGTTCATTGCCCGAAAAACTGACATAAGGTTCCTCCACCTAGCCCACCGCTGGGTGTATGTGCAATAGGACTGAACACCACTCTTTTCCATGCCCAATACCCTGGCTTTTGAATCTTCTTCTTTTTTTGTAGCTGTATGCACAGCCTTGACTTTGGCAAATCATCCTTTTCTGGCTGCCATGCCTTGGGGTATGTTTCCGAAAATCCTGGTCTAACATGATCCCAATCAATTGCTGCAAGCTCATCCTGTGTATAAGGCATTGTGTATTGATGTCTCGCCACTCCTAGGACTTCACATACCGCAACAACGGCAGACTTGCATCTAAAGAAGATGGGGGGTGGATTGGCATTGTACTGAATGGCAGTCGTCATTGAATCCTTTGCTTTTTGTGTCACGAAGTATGTCTGGTTCCCCTAGGTGATTCGCAGGGCCTGGCGATCTGGATCAATAGCAGGCTGAAGAGACTTCGAAGTATAGACATCCCATCATGCGTTCCCAAGTACATTATGTGCTGCCATCCACAATATCATGTCGTGGCGCTGATTCTCAGTTCCGGCAGGTTCAGTGGTTCCAAAGGGGTCTAGCTGAAGGAAAATGCTCTGATCCCTCACTTCATGTTGATTGCCAAAGATAGACGGTGGTGTTCTTGCCAGCTTAATTAAGAGAAAGCTCTCGCAAGGTGAATGCAATGTCCTCTGAAATGCCTTCCCCAGTTTTGTCTCGATCCACAATCGTAACTTCCCATGCAGAGATCAAGATTTCAGGCCTTGGGAGTTCAAGCAGCGTCTTGAGATATTCATGGGATGCCAGGGCTGCTGCATAGCACTTCTTGTGGAGACAAACTGCATCAGGAAAAGGCAATGGTTGGCCATACTTGGAGAAGCATTTGTTGAAGCGATCAGTACATTCCTTCTGAAGGTCCACTCGGCAGTCTGTTGGCTGTGGCTTGAAGCTGTTCCAAAGCAAAAGAAGAGCCTCCTGGTCGGTCATTTCCTCGGCTGTGTCTGTTTCCTCGACAGCTGTTTCAGTGTCCGTCATCGCGCTAGTGCATCGGTGGTAACAAGTAACTACGGATCTTCGTCGTCTCCCGTTGTAAATTCGGGGCATTTCGTGCCCTAATTTAGGGCAGAGTTTGAAACTCTGCCCTAATTAAGGGACAGTGCACGCACCTCTGTGGACAGACGTCAAACGTGCACGGCTCGTAGCATTGTGACGTCATACACGACTGCGAATATGCACGATTGAGGCACGCTCCTGAAAACAAGCTCCTACGACGTTTATGACAACCACCAAGCCAGATGTCCATGTCACAACAGCAAAAACGTCGTGTCGCATTATAACGTAGGATTTCAGTCTTCAGATGGTCTGATGGAAACATCGCTACTGCATCTGTACACTCTTTCAGTACAAAGAGCAGTGTCACCATCAGACAAGATAGAAACAGCTGTAGAGGACATAAAGTTCCACTGCAAGGAAAGATGATGCAGTTCCTCATCCATGACCTATCTAAACAGATGGCTTGATCTAACCAGCCAAAAGAGATCCATGGATCTGTATCCTGCATGGCTGAATGATGGAGAATTCTTTGACGCCAAATCTGCGTTTGTGTTTATGTTATAGATTAAAGAACTAATGAAGAAGTAGTTGACCTGAGAAACAGACCCAACAGCACAAGTAGAGCTCTGCAGTAGACCGGTTCCTGTATGGCCAGTGCCAGGGTATTGAGCAATTAGACTGTTCAATCATTGCTTCCACAGTGATTGAATAGCATTGGCTGCCAGCCTTGGGCTGGCCTTTCCAGCGCCAGTGGAAGGAGATCTCCACCAAACAGA